TAATACAGCTGTACTAAATAATTTCTCAGATGACAAGTCAAACAGTAGCTCAGTATGCTGGAAAAAAAGATGAGTTTGCTTTACGCTGTACTCCTGTCACACTTATACCTAAACTTGCACCTAAGGTGAGACACATACATGAAATAATGATTATTTAGTTACAGAATCACAGAATCATGGAATGGTAGGGGTTGGAAGGGACCTCTGTGGGTCACCCAGTCCAACCCCCCTGCCGAAGCAGGGTCACCTACAGCAGGCTGCACAGGACCTTGTCCAGGCGGGTCTTGAATATCTCCAGAGAAGGAGACTCCACAGCCTCCCTGGGCAGCCTGTGCCAGGGCTCCGTCACCCTCAGAGGGAAGAAGTTCTTCCTCATGTTCAGACATACCTTTATGCTGTGTTACAATATACACATGTAATTCTGTAGTCTGAGTGATACTCTTACACCTAAGCTAACCTATGTTAAAACTGTCTTTCTGAGCGTTAACTGAAGTTGCAGCCTTTGTCACTGATCTGAACTTGTGTATATTGGAATGGGTGTGCTTCATTCCTAATGATGGCTCTGCCAGCACTGACACAGGTCAGTTTGACTTTTGCCCAGCACTTATGTGAGCAGTCAATATGAAAAAATGAGCTTATGAAATTTGATCTGTACATCTTGTATTTGCTGCCCAAAGCTATTAATTGGTGCCCGGAGAGAACAGCACAAAACACTGCCTAGATTTTGGGAACTAAGTGTAGACCTGGGAGGAACATTCTGAAAACGTTGAAGTGTATTGTTGCTCTTTGTTTGTTTGTTAAGCATAGAGCAAAGAAAGAGCTTTTTATGAAAAAGAGGGGGTTTTCTCTATAAGAGGATATCTTCTTTTAATATGGAAATAAAGTTATAAATCAGTTGGACAGTAAGTCAAACTGTTTACCCATTGATGGAAGAATAAGTAGTAGTAGCCAAACAAGGTGGGAAGCTCTTTTATTCTTTCCCCTTTTTTTGTTCTTCGCCTTCCAGGTTACTTTCTTGCATTTTGTCAGAAATTAATGCACGTTTAGGAGGAATTATACAATGGAAAATAAGATTATTTTTTTAAAACCCAAGAAAATTGGCAGCCAGACTAAGGGCCAAGTGAAACTGTTTAATTTTTCTTTCAATTACAGCTTTGAAGAGATTTAAATTATCAATATCTATTTTCTCAGGAAGTCCTGTATGCATTGGCAGTATGCCTATGTAATTCTTGCTCAACCATAAGTCCAGTAGCACACAAACTGGCGCTGTATTTTTCCAAACTGATAGTTAACAGATACCCTGGTCACTGAGCGGAGACAGTCTTTGCTGGGCTGTCTCTTTTCACAGCTTTCTAACTCTCTGTACAGCCCTGCTCCTTAGGGCCACAAATATATAAAATAAATGCAAAGGTATTTAGGGAGCAGGTTGTTTGTTACGGTTTAGTGTTGAATGCAGCTTTTGTTTTAGGTCAGATTCTACCCAGTGCTGTGGGATCAAGGAAGACTGGAGGTTCTTTGTCGAAAGCCAAAACATGCATCTTTCTGATATTTATAAAACAAGTAAACAAAACACCAAACAACAACATCTACCCCCTCACCCCCCAAAAAAAATCCTCCTCCCAAATTTTAGGAGTTTAGACCCGTGTTCCACAGGCGCTGTATTTGCAATACCACTTTGATGTCTTCTAAAAGCAATCATGACATGAAAAAAATTGTTTTTCTTTCAAGAGTTATGTGAAGGGAAGGAATGGGAGTGCTAACTTTTAAAATATGAAAACTGAACACCTGGAGATAATTATATTTTTAGATGTTTTCAGACTGAGTCAGAGTTAATGGCAAATGGGATCTGTATTAGATTGGCAGATGATTAGTAGAATTTATCATTATAATATGCTTAGCATAATAAGCATGGTGGTCCTGATTATTCAGTGACAGTTTGTGTAGTAATTTTTCCGTTAAAAGACTCTGTCAGTCTGTTAATAAATACATTCATTAGATCAAGTATGCCATGCTTAAAGCATGTCTGGTTTCAAATACAGTATTAGCTTTCTTCAATAAGAAAAGACCTCAGTAGTTTTCAGATGGTTTACAAAACAGACCTTAAGCAGAATTCACTTAAAACCATGAATTTTATAAAAAGACTGAAACATTAAATATAAACAAATCCTAGTAGCAGCCCTACCTCTACTAGTATACAAGTCAACACGAAACAGGTCTAGGCAGGTCATGAAAAATCAGCTGGAAAAGCCTTCTCATTTTGTTGATGAACTACAGCAGTTGTGGTTGCATACAGAACGAGTGACTGACGGTTTCACAGACTTACAATGTTACAATATCTCTTTCAGAAATTGTCCCAAAATTCTAGAAAAAGCAGATTTGGGTTGTGGGTTTTTTTGTGTGTGTGTGTTCCAAATCATAGCCTGACAGGTAGACTGTAATCTTGATGCGTGATCAGCCATTAGCCTTAGTTCTCTTAGGTCATTTTTTTGGATTATCATCAGTTTAAAACACTTTCTTTTTATATCAGCAACATCTCAATTTAGTAAGAGAACAGTACCAGTTAAGTTGCCAGAAAAGAAGCATTCACATGATTTCAGTTAATAGCTGAGAATAATATTTTGTCTACTTTATTCCTAATGATGGGATGCAAGGAGGTACTCAGTCTTATTCTCGTCCCTTTCTCTCCTTATCTGCCAGGTTTCCTCCCAAGGAAGTAACAACCTCTCTTCCTTCAGAAAAAAAAAAAAAAAATCAAACTCCCAAGGATTGCATTAGTCATCCACTGGATTATTAGAGATTTTTTGTAACTGTGACAAGAACTTGGACTTTGGATTTTCTAAATATATGGGAGGTGGAAGAGTATTGAGCAATTTTTCTCATTATCTTGCAGAGTAATCTCTCAGGGTGTAGCATCGCTGAATTAATGGCCCTCAAATAGTAACTTAGCAGAGCTGCTCAAGGATTCTTGCCATTGCTATTAAAAGGCATTTGGCAATAAGCAGTATGTCATCTTAGAAGCACAGCCGTTTACTAGAACATAAATATGCTAACATACTTCACTTACGAACTCTTCAATCGTGTCTGGTTCTAGAAAACAGCGTAGATGATCTTGCACACCACAGACAACTAGTTGTTCTACATACTACAATTTTAAAGCAGTTGTTCTTGAGATGAGTGATAAATAGTAGCATTCGTTATGTATTTCTGTTGGGCATTTCACGTGATCTCTCAGAGCTCTTTGGTAAATACTAATTAAGAAGTGATGACTCTTTTGCAGAAGGTTTGTTAGGTGGTTAAACAGAGAAACACACATCACTTGGTGCAGTCTCAGAGATAATTTCTTGACTGGAGTTTCCTAGTCTGAGCTCTTTGCTTTTTCATTTGATTTCTTTTCTTGAGCTAATGAACGTGGTTAAAATGCTGCTTCCCCACCTCTGTGGGCAATTGGCTTGCCAGGTGCTGGACTGCTGCATCCTCCTCTCGCGCTGCTGGAGCGGCTTGGCTCGCTTCCCCGGGTTCTTGCTGCCGCGCTCCGTTACAGCCCTGCCTGCAGGAGCCCCGCAGCGGGTGATGTGCCCGACGACACTGGTGCAGGGTCGGTGCGGTCCTGTTCGGCGGCTTCCAGCTGCGAGTGGAGTCCTGGCTGGCCATGGCCTGTGGCATGTGATTGCTGTGTTTAGCGCTGGGGGGGAAATAGGTCATACACGCAGAACGCTGATATATTAATTTACACTTTCCAGAGCATTGCAGCCTCCTGTACAGGTTGAACTGGACTTGACTTCCACTCTTGGCTGTGGTGTTGTAACTTCACGAGTAGCCTGCTGCTTTCACGGTTTAAGGAAACTTCAGTCAGAATCTGTAGGCTGCTCCTGGGATCGGTCGGTGCACCTTTAACAGTACTTGGCTGAGAAAGAGATGTTGCTGCTGCCGAGGAGAAAAGTGCCTTTCCACTCCCTGGCTGGACCTGCTAATTCTTGTTTCTCTCTTAGATCTGTGGTTTGTGTATACTTAATTGCCAGCCACGTCTCTTGAGCAGGTGTTGATTACACAGATCATCGAGGAATCACAGGTGTCCAAGTGTCAGTCAAGCAAACAGTTGATTAACGTGTCCGTGTAGCCAGAGCTGGGTGCTCCCTGAAGCTCTCGGATGTTTTCTGACTGAGATTTCATTGCTCCAAAGGACTACCTGGATCACATACACTATTTTAACTGAAATGGTGTTAGCAACATATTAATGTTAATGGTTTAATGTTAATTAAATTGTTTCTTTTCCAACACGTTCATTGATGGAACCTGACCTACTCTTAATTTAAATGTTCAGGTATTACTTTTTTTTCATAGAAGAGTATCTGTTACTCCTTTTGATGTTGTTCGTTGATATAAGGATTCCTAAACTAGTCATACTATGAAAAAAAAAAAAATAATAGGAAAACAAACCAAAACAACCCAACACCCCAAAAAGAAGTGTAAGTCAGTATTTTAGCTGCTGTTCTCAGGGTATTCCACACTGAAGGTCTAGTAGACCATACCAAAAGGTTGTGATGAAATGAAAGTTAAAATGTTGGCTCCAAGATAATTTTGACTATTAGGAGACTTACTTACATATAATTGTTATACCTTGAGGAAATACAGTGTTTAAGCTTGCTCAGCCTGAGGATAGGGGTCTGTCTACTTTGTGTGTCTGAGGCCCAGGTCTGATTCTCTCTTTTTTGTTCTTTAAGATGGAGAGAGAATGAGGAGGGTTATTAAAAGCTAAGCTCTAGTGGCTGAGGAACATAGCTCCCAAAGTTGAAAGAGACTCCCGTAATGGGCTGGGGACCAGCGGTGAGTTGGAGCCTCATGGGTTACAGTGGGGCTTGAATCCTCTGTGCCCTGTGTATGGCAAGGAACCTCCCAAGCCAGTAAAGGAAAAATGTCAATGGAGTAAATGACAGCATGAAGTATTTCTAAGAATTGTTTCTGTATGGGAGCTTAAAAGGCCGTTTTCTCCTCCTTTTCAGAAAGAAGACACAGCTCCTCCAGCAAGCCGCCTTTGACTCCTCCCTCCTCTTCAGTATTTTCCCTCATTTCATCTTTCCCTTCAAAAAACAAAGGTAGCAGTGGAAGTGGGAGCAATCGTTCATCCAGTGGAGGTACTAGTGCATCATCATCAAATTCCAAGTTGTTGAAATCACCCAAAGACAAGCTGCAGATCAGCGGAAACAACAGGTTAATGCATTCGGTACAACATAGCAAAGTTCCCCATGATAAACTGTGAGTATGCGTTTTGACAAATAATTAGATGTTATTACTTGCATAGACACTGCTATATCAGTAGAATTTCCTTTTGTTGCAGAGGGTTTTTCGTTTAAGAGATAATCACTTCAAACTCATGACTATGTTGAACAAGAACTCTTGCAAAGCTGCATCTTAAGTCACTATAAATAAAGGTCATTTTACTAGGGGCTCTTATTTCTTTGATCTAATCTGCATACTTTGATCATAAGGGAGTTTTAGCTCTGATTCAGATTATTTTTAACCTGCACGTGTGAGATTGCAGGAGTGATAATATAATTCACTATCACAGAACGGGGCATTTCTCACTGGCCAGAACAGCCCCATTCCAGTTGCTTTGGTGATGACGCTGTGTCTGTGAATCCAGATAACAGTTTCTGAAGTCCCTGATGACTCTCTGAAATACTTACAAGGAAATGGAGAAAAGAGGACAGAGGAGATTATGTACGTCATAAAAAATGTGAACATAAAAAAGAATAAGAAAACTGGGAATAAAGGAGGAAGGTCTACATTTGCATTGTGAATAGATCAGAGTATTGTTGAGTGATAACATTTGAAGTATTTTTATAATTTATGACTTATTTTTAATTTTCGCCCCTTTGCTTTTATAAATAATAGTATGACTCCATCTGTCAAAGTGGAAAAGATTCATCCAAAGATAGATGGTGCCCAACTGAAAGCTGCTGTTGGTCCAACTTGTTCTACTACTGTGAGTTCCTCAATAAAGACTGGCCTTAATTGTCCCTCAATACCAAAGCCACCCTTGCCTTCCCCTGGACAGATACTGAATGGTAAAGGTCTTCTCTCTGTGCCTCCATTTTTGGAAAAGAAACCTGAAGAAAATACAAATAATAGGAAATTTCTACATAAAAGATTGTCAGGTAATGGTTTTTAATTATTATTTGTTGTATTCCTCTTAGTAGTGTATCTATAGAAATACAAATATAGAATATATAGACATAAGTTTCAGAAGTAAATTGAATGCTTTTATGACACTGTAACTTGTAATTAGGTACGTTTTGTGTATTAGAATTCAAATTATAACTTGACATACTCTTAAAGGACGCAGTCAACTTGAAATGTAGCTGTTGCTTTCAGAAAACATGTAGACCTCAAAGGCCTGTCAGTTCTTACAGTCTTAAAATTAAGCTCTTCTGTTGTCTTTAAAGTTGTTTTTTTTTCCTGATGTCTATATGGAAGGTTCAAATGTACATAGAAAATGAAACAACTAGCACCTCAAACTCAATAATATAAAACCAGTCTGCTCTTTACACTTATTAAAGACAATGACTTTGAGTGTTAGTAGAATGGTAGAAAAATTCTTAACACCAAAATGAACAACACAGAACCACCATTAGTTTGTCACAGTTCATGTTGGTGGTGACTTCTAATCCCAACATGCAGGATCTGCTCCTCCTTTAGGGTCCCTTTCAGCTGTAAATTTCTCCATTCTGTGTGTAGACTTGAGATCTGTATTTCAGCACACCATAAACTTGCCAAGAGTGTAGAAAAGTTTATTTGCACAATTTTATTGTGCATTTTTGTACATTTGCCTGTGTTTACATGTGAAAAGTTTCCAATATGGTTAATTTTTATAATGAAAATATTAGTATTTAAAAATGTCTTTTGATAACTTTTCAATACTGCATACCTTTGACAGAGAGAGAATTTGATCCTGATATATACTGTGGTGTCATTGATGTGGAAACCAGGAAACCTTGTACTAGGTCTTTGACATGCAAGGTAGGATATCTTAATCAGAATAAGATTATGTAAAGTTTTAATTCCATTTCCTAAGGAATAGGATAGAAAACAGAAAACTACGAATTTTTGCTGTCAGTAATTACTGCTGTAAATGGTATCTCTCAAAACCTGTTGCCCAGAACCAAGAAGGAATTGTTTTTGAAGTTAATTATTTATTCAGAAAACATATTTGCTAAAGTAACCTGGAGATTTATATTTTTGTACAAGCCCTTTAAACATGAATGTTGACATGGGACAGATTATGTTACTCCACATGTCGGTAGTAGGTGGCCAGCATGTTCTATTTTTTGAGGGATAAACTTTGAGTCATTGATCAAGAATTATAAAATGCCTCATAAGCATTAAAAGCATTATTTGTTTATGCAGGATTTAAATAAATCAAGCTCCTCCCCTCTCATACCCCCTCCTTTCCCCCTGGCAGGGTCTGCAGCAGATACTACTAACAGCTTGCCCAGAGAAGCTGTGGGTGCCCCCTCCCTGGCAGCGCTCAAGGCCAGGCTGGACGGGGCTCTGAGCAGCCTGGTCTAGCGGAAGGTGTCCCTGCCCACAGCAGGGGGGTTGGAACTGGATGATCTTTAAGGTCCCTCCCAACCCAAACCACGCTATGATTCTATGATACTTGGGAGGTATTTGTGTAAATGCCCATGCTGCTCGATGTGCGGCTACAGCCAGCTCAGAAATGAGTCTTCTGTAAAAGCCACTGAGTATGCCTAGAGGTCAAACTCTAAATTAAACAATCTGTAAAAACTTTTGGTCAAATTAAATGTGTTCTCTGGCTCAAAAATCTTGGGGACAGAGGGATATCACTTAAATCCAAGGAACTAAAAATCCAGATCCCCTGGAACTGTGTAATATTTAGCCACTTTCCTGCAAAGCTGCTAAACTGTCTGTAGGGGAAGCATCTGGTAAATAAACTACCTACAGAACAAAGGTAAATGAAGCTGGTACCGGTGACCCAGAGGAACTCAACTTGAACACATTGCCCTTTTGGATTTAGAGGGGAGAGGTAATTGTTTTGCTAATAGAGGAGGGAAAAGCTTCAAGATTGTACAAGAGAACTAGACAAATCAGAAGTGTAAGAAAGAAAGTAAAAATGTTTCTTAGCAATTCCTTATACCTACTGATAAAATGTTTTTTGGAATTGCTATTTGTGTCTAAATTATGTGATAGAAATTTTTACCTACTAAAATGAACTCAGTCAAACCTTTTGTGCCATATGAAAAAAGGTATTGTGTGTGACTTTTGCAATTCAGAAAAATAACCTCCATCTATTTCACTTTACCTAGAATTTGTGCCATATATATGTATTATACATTTTACTGTGTGTAGCATTCAGGACACTCAAAGGACTTTTGAGTTCTGTCTGACTGTGGATTCTGCTGTATTTTTTTGCATTCCTCAATACCTATTTGGTTACATTAGTTTTCAAGGAATATATTGGTGTATAGAAGGCAGGCAAGTATTTTTAAATCTTTTTCATGTTTAAAATCAGACTTTTATTGGGAGAGATTATTGTGTTAAATATTTTCGTAAGTGAAAGTAAGTATTTAGTGGTTTTGGCTGTGCACTAGGGTAAACAAAATGTTTTTAGATACCATGTTGGAAATTAAAATATCAATGTCAAAGACTTTCAATTCAACTCTTTGGCAGTTTCTCTTTTAAAAAGAAATTTGAAAGAAGCCTCTTACTCAATTGCAGGGTTCTGTTATTTTATATCAGATAGGGATATTATCATCCACCAAGCAATTTTAAAGTTTCTTTTCGAAGTCATTCTTCCATTTGTGTACTAAACCATGAGTGGGATGATTTTCTCTATTCTAGAACTCTGGACACGTGTTTTGAGTGTTTAATTTCCACAAATCTAATAGCTTGGAATTAATGATTTATTCATGGCTTTGCAGACACATTCCTTAACCCAGCGGAGGGCTGTACAGGGTCGAAGAAAACGATTTGATGTGTTACTAGCCGAGCACAAAAGCAAAACCAGGGAAAAGGAACTTCTTCGACATTCAGATCATCATCAGCAGATGCCCCCTCTCAGGGAACCACATCCCTCACCTACTAAAACTTCCCAGGAGCTGCACCAAAATTCTCATGGAGTTACTCTTACAGAATCAAAGCCTTTATTACCTAATAAACCCAAACCTCACCCCCCCAGTCTTCCAAGGTAAGGAAAATCTGTGGGTTCAATGTTATGAAATTAATACTGGTAGCTTCATCAGGTGGATTTTGAAAGAGCGATATGGATCTGTTGGATGGGGCAGTATTTTTTGCTCTAGGCCTGGTGACTGTCTGTCTGCAATTAGCAATTACATACTGAGCTGTAGCTCGTAGCATGGAGGGTTTGGTGTTTGGAACAGCAAAAGCTGACTCGCATCGAAGAAAGCAGTTCAGCGGCGGTTAGGCAATGTTGCTTTTCTACTGGTACCATACCTCCTGTCCTTCCTCTTGGTAGACATGTTACAAGACTGTGGAAAATACCAGGAATCTGTAAATGTAGATTTCCCTCTGTAAGTAGTAGTAAGCATTTAAGCATGGAGTTTTTAACTGGACTTAGTTCAATAGCATCTTTACTGCTTGTCTTGCCCAGGCCTCCTGGCTGTCCAGCCCAGCACAGTGGAAATGCCCCTAGCGAGTCTCCTTCTGTCCACGAGTCCCCGCACCCTCCCTTGCCTGCAGCTGAGCCAGCATCTCGGTTATCCAGTGATGAGGGAGAATGTGATGAAAAAGAAGAGCCTGTTGAAAAACTGGATTGTCATTATTCAGGTCATCATCCTCAACCAGCCGCTGTACGTTTTAACTAAAAGCTAACCTTGGTCTCTCGTTGGCCCTGAACCTGTAAAGAGATTACTTGAGGGTTTTAAGGGTGGTTTTCTATTGGGTGTGTGATTATTTTTTTTTTTTCTAGTTTTTAAGAAAATTATTTTGTTGCCTTGTAAGGAGTGAAGGTTTAACTGTAGTTGCAGAGTAAATATGCTGAAGAAATGTTTTTGGACCTCACTTTCCCGATCTGAAAGAAATCAAAATGCCAAAATACTTAAGATAAAATTGGTAACTGCTCAAAAGGTCTGTGGTTTTGGAATAAGGACGTGTAAACAGTGCCTTTTTCATGAGATTTTGTTATTGGACTTTGACGCATACGCACATTTTTTTACTCAAGGTGCCAGTCGTCCCAGTAAGGTTACCAGTATTGTGGTGTTTTAATATTTAAATATTGACAAAAGCTAGTTAGTCTAACTAAAGCACAAGCTTTATTGCCTAGCCTGTATATTATCTCCTTTTTTTTAAAACAGACTATGAGCAGATAGTTCATAGTTCTACAGAAATAGATGTTACATAGTATATATTACGTTTTTATACACACACACTACTGTCCTTCGCTGTTTAATCAGAGGGATTCAAATTTGACTGGTGCTTTTGGCCATAAGTGTGGAAGTATCAGGTGGAAAGAAGATGATCCCAATATACCAAGGCCAAAAATTTAAAACAGTTGTTAAACCATAGAAATAAAAATTCTAATTTATATTTTTTATCTTTGATTTAGACATCAAAAAGCATATTCATTTACCAATATTTAAAGTGCATCGTTATTCAGAAAGTTGTTGCTGAAAGTAGAAAACACCAATAAAAAAATCTGTCTTTTCAGTTTTGCACATTTGGTAGTCGGCAAATTGGAAGAGGTTATTACGTGTTTGACAAGCGGTGGAACCATATTCGATGTGCACTTGACTTCATGTTGGAGAAGCATCTTAATTCACAGATGTGGAAGTGAGTAGAAGTGAAAGAGTTCTTGTTCTTAGTATTTGTAGAAACACATGAAGCCTGTGATTCTAGTTAAAGTACAGTAGTCTTGTGTTCAGAGCAACTGGATCAAAGGTTGCTAGTCTATGCTTTACATTTTTTGCAACGATTAACTATTAATTTAACAGAATATTTTAGTGGCCTTGATCAACCTGAAGATACAATCGCTGTAATGTAGCATTATTGGACTGGGTATTATTCCGAAGAATGGTAGCTACGTAGGTTTTTGTTTGTTTTTCTGTTCACCTGCAGGAAAATTCCTCCAGCATCTAGTAACACGGCATCAGTTCGTGCACCACATCGGACAAACTCGATGCCTGCTTCACAGTATGGTGTCAGTGCAGCAGGTTTCCTTTTACCCACCACGGTTATGTCATCGCCAGCGTTGGTATCTCCTTCCTGTGTGTCTCTGAATAATAAATCGGTACCATCACATGGAACGACACTAAATGCCAATCCTGCCGCGCTGGGTGCAGTGGATCCTGTCTGCAGTATGCAATCAAGACAAGTGTCTTCATCCCCTTCAACACCTCCAGTGCTTTCCTCTGTACCTTCACCTATGCCCAGCAAACCTCAGAAAATGAAATCCAGCAAATCTTTTAAACCTAAGGAATCTTCTGCTGGCAGTGGCACCTGTAACAGTACCGGCAGCGTCAGTAGCAGCGGCGGCTCAGGAAAGAAGCGTAAAAACAGTTCCGCACTGCTAGCACCTTCTCATTCCACAGAGTCCTTTAGAAAAAACTGTGTGGTTAACTCTGGAAACTCTGGGACCTCCTATCATCCATCGGTGACAGCTTCGTCCCACAGTGTTGGCCTCAACTGTATGACTAGCAAAGCTAACTCTGTTAGCCTCAAACATGACCAATCAGGGAGGGGTCCTCCGACTGGAAGCCCTGCAGAATCGATAAAGAGAATGAGTGTGATGATGAACAGCAGCGACTCCACGCTCTCCTTAGGGCCGTTCGTTCATCAGTCCAGCGAGCTGACTGTCAATTCACACAGCAGTTTTTCACATTCGCATACTTCCCTTGACAAATTAATAGGAAAGAAAAGAAAGTGCTCACCTGGTTCAAGCAGCATAAACAGCAGCAGCAGCAGCAAATCAAACAAAGTTGCCAAATTGACATCGGTGAACAATGTTCATGCAAAACACACTGGTGCAATCCCAGGGACGCAAGGACTGATGAACAATTCTCTTTTTCATCAGGTATGAAATTTTGTCTTGAACTAAGCCAATATGAACGTGCCTCTTCATGTGCTCGTGTTACCTGTGTTCTCTTAATTCCTAGCTAGACAATTCCAGATCCTATTCAAGTAAAAGGTCGTACTCTTACTTGTCCACTACTCATTTTGAGTGTTTTTACAGTGCATTTCCATAAGATTTTTATACACGCTCTCATGCAGTGTAGATTTTCTTTTTTAAAGTAAACTTAAACATGACGTTCCAAAGTTCCATAGATGTTGCCTGTGAATTGCTCTCGAAAGAAATTCAGTCCTCACATTTTAAAAAAGAAATTCAAAAGTAAATCTTGCCAGCCAGCCATGGCAGTGAGCTGCATGTTGCAGCCTGACTTCTTCTTTCTGTGTCAGCAATAAACATTCTACAAAGTGGAACATAATGATGCTGATAACAGAACTGTGATACTCTGATAAAATAAGCCTATTATCCCAAGGTGTCACTGACTAACTTCTTAGCAATAACGAGATTATATGTTATAAATAAGGTAGAAACCTTTTTAGTCGGTAAAGCAAACAGATTTACTCTGAAGGGAGCAGCTCTCGTGAATGTGCAGGATTCCATTTTAAAAATTAGTTTGGGGTTTTGTTTTTGAAGCAAATCGCACTGGAAAAGTAATGTGTTGGGAGGGAAAGTTCTTAATATGCTAGGATGAGAGATAAATTAGAAATTGGCAGCTCAGACTTCGTAATACTATTCAAATTGACTTGGAAGACCACTTGGAGGGGTAAAAAAATTATATGATACAGCTCGAGGAGAGTATAGAAGATGGAATTTTGGAGTAGCTTTAGAACTAGACTTTTCAAGATTGAAAACCCAAGAAACTTTTTTTGTTTCTTCTGGTGCTCATGACCTGAAATTTCTGTACCTGAAGAGCTAGGAGGTCAGTAAGAGCTTTTTCAGAATGTTCCTTAACTGTCAGTGTCAACCATAGAGGAAGATTTTCACCATTATGTTGTGTTTACTGTAATAAAAAAAAGCATTCAGGTGGCTGAATTTATTTTTGGACTTATCTAACAGTTACTGTTTTAGCTATGCAATATAAATAACGGAGAAATATAATTTGAGTGAATTAAGGAAGGAAATCATGTCTAAAACCGTTACAACTGTAAAGAGCTTTAGCTGGAGAATTACTAAGTCTTGGAGAAGCCAACCTGCACGTTAGTGGTGTCGCATTGTGCCTGCTGGTTCTCCCCAAAATATGCTCTCGTTTTCCAGACAGTGTCTTTTAAGGGCATCTGCTGTAACAGCCTGGCTGACTCGTCCTTGTCTGCTTTTTCTTTTCCTTGCTCAAAAGCCAAAGGCGCGTCCCTGATAGCTGAATGCACCATGGTGAGAAACGAACTGGACAGTTTTCACTACAAGCAAAACCTCCATCTGGATTTCTGGACTCCAAGATGCCTTGAGTTTTCCCGAATTCCCATGGTCCTCAGGTGTGGAAATCTACTGGACTGTCACTTAAACAAGGAATTTCCCTGAAGCCATGTCTGTAGCAGCGAATATAGTAGAAATGGACACTGGATGAAGTTCAGCCACATAATTGCTCTTATCAGTGTTAACGGTGGTCTGGACTGTTTGCTACAAATCTGTGAGATTTTACTTACAGGAGTACAGCATCTTGCCACTATTTGACGTAGATTGGCTGAGCAAAAGAATGTTTTCTGGGGGGAAATAAACGTTACTGTGGACTTTATTTTTATACTGATGGTGTCTTTTGTAGGTGATAGCTAACCAGACAGACACCCTCAATGGAGAGGACTCCGTGACAAGGGGGAAGAAATGTGTGAGGCACAATGGAAAGAAGCCCTCAAGAAGGGAATATGGCTTTAGTGTTTTTATAGCAATGTTCCTTTAATGGAATATAAAAATAGCACAATTCAAAAAATAGTCTGTGTTTTGCCCAGCCTTTTGCAAGTAATTTGGGATAAGAAGCTATCAGGAGTTTAAAAACAAAAAAACAAACCCAACAAAATCCAGAAAAACTTGTTTGAGGCCATCGCTCAGAAAACAAGTATAAAAATGTCATACTTGCGTGATACAAAAATCTATTTTCTATTCTTTTGAGTAAGATTTTATTGCAGAAGAAAATAAAAGTTAATTTTGCTTTTTAAAAAATCCAATACCATTCAAACAAAGGCAAATAACCTCTAAAACTATATGCCCAAAGAACGTATTTATTGACCTATACTGTATACCATAGGCCTTTGTTATTTAAAATAAATAACAACTATATTGGTTAAATTAGGCTGCATTTGCCTTCCAGCCAGTAAAAATAGCCCTTTTAAAACTTAAGTATTTAAAGTATTTAAATATTTTCTAAAAGCCAGAGAAGTCAGTTTCTTCATGCCTTCTTTGTATAACTAAGTAGGTAACATGTTACACTTTCCACCACTCAGTAGGATTTTTTTCACAATTCTGGAATAAAGGCCAATTTGACAGCAGAGTTCAGCGTAAAGCGCAGATGTGTGCATCGCAGTCATCCCGCGCCTACCCAGGCTTTATGAATAAAGGGGGCTTTACACAGTTTTATATAATCCAGTCAATTTTTATGAAATGCTTTGTCTTGCTTCGAAACACCTCAAAAGTGAATTCCGCTAAAGGGCTTATTGTATTATGATTTGATTCGTCTGGATGTCTATGTTAAGTTTTTAAACATCAGGTAAAGTCTCAAAACTGACTACGCTTTTCTTAAGGGGGCAAAGCAAAGGAAAACAAATTTCCTAACCAAGAAGATATTTTTTCTGCCTTAAAGGGGCACCAGCTGTTGCTGAGAAGAGACAATCTGAGCCTGCCCAATTGTTCGCGTAGCCCAGCCTTCTCCCCAGGTCTGGTGGCAAGCAGTACATCAGGGAATCCAAAGCCACTCTGAGTAGCAGTTGCTTAGTTGTTTACCTAACGATGCTTTCAGTTTAACCTGAACTGGCTACGAAATCGTTGTTACACAGCAAAACAACAAGAAGCCTCTATGCAGACACTTTAGCTTTGAATTGATACAAAAGATCACACTGAGAAAGCAACGTACTGGAAACACTTATTATGCAAACTTTAAAAAGAAATAAAATAGAAAACTTTTCAGGAACAAAAGAATTCCTATTTAATAAGATGCCCTGTTGAAAGGATTCTTAGAACTGCGATTGGTTTAACGTAGAAGGAACCAAAGCGATACGCCACAAAGAGAAGTCCAAGCGTGTTAAATCCTGCACGTTTGGAGTGAAATCCACGCTCTGGTGAGGTCCCTGGGCCAGAGCTTCCGCTTCGGGACAGCATCAGTCACAAGTGCAGTTTGACTCGTGATAGACACAAAGGTAAAGGAAACAAAAATTGGGCGAGATTGAATGCTAGTGAGTTTGTGATCCAACTCTCCTCTATTTTTTTTAAGGTTCTGTTGATCTGAAAGCATAATGGCAAATTATTCGTGCTTCTTCGATAGCATGCGGGCGTATCACAAAGCGAATTCCTGATCGCTGCTCGTACCGAGCCAGTGTCTGCAGTCCCCTGCGCCGTCTGGGTTTAAGCCATTGGGAGTAAAGAGTTAGAACATCGCAAATTCTGTCTGCCCTTGAGCGTAGACCTGCTTAAATGTTATGTTTTAGATCTTGCTTATAAGCAGAACATTGTTCCTGAAGCTTTTATTGTCACATAGTTCTTACTGTAAATAACTAAGGAAGCTTAAAATTAATTTTCCTTGCAAAATTGAATTTGCAGTGGCTGGGTTGTTTCTAGACAGATTTTGGTATTAATTTAAGAGATACAGTTTTTATAGTCTTTCCAACTTCTCGTTATGACTCCTGCAGTTTTCTTAACCTAAAAAATTGCTGCAATGATGAACAAAGAATTATACAAGAAAAAAAAAACCATACTTTTGTATCTTTATTTTGGAATTTCTTGTTCTATTATAAATATTGAAGTATCCCTATTTCAGAAGACATATTTTGTTAATTGATTGTACATATTTAAATATGTATTTTTGCACAGGTCTTTTTTTCTTATATCCAGTTTTGGTACACTTGAGATCATCTAGTATTTATTTATTAATTAATTAAAAAAAAAAAGCAAATACCTTTTTATAATTTGAAGTGGTTCACTGCCAAGCCAATAGTTAACATGCCTACTTTGCAACTCGAGGGATGCCTCCGTTTTGTGAAAGCTGTGTCCCTTTTCATGTCTTGGGAGTGGATCCACGCGAACGATTGACCGGGTCCTGCGGTCGGGTTCTGCCGCGGGAACCCGAGCGCAGGATTGGAGCCGAAGTGGTCGGTCCGGCATTGCGTATCGGTTGCCTGATTCCCAGAAGACTACATTTAGTTAAGTGACACACTGCTTCTCTTTTTTTAGTGTTCGTGTGCGTGTGTGTGCGTGCGCATTTGTGTGGGTCTCATGTGGTTTAAAACTAACGGAAAAACTGAAAGTGCCTGATATAACTAGTTTTAAGCTTGGACTGTTTAGACAGCTTCTCCTTAAAAGACTTGAATGTTCAGTTGAAATTTTGGAGCTTGCTTTTTCCACCTATATATAATATATGTGTGCGTATATATATGTATGTGTGCGTGTGTATATATATATATACACACATACATATATATGTTTTCTGAAATTGAGATGGGTTGACAAAAGAAAGCGAATGATGCTGGTAACTTTTGTAAAATCTTTTAATTAGAATACCTTCTGTTGGAACAATCCCATTGATAACTAATATTTAATATAATGCCAAGGGTTTGAAATATGGTTTTAACCAGCAGTTTATCTAACTGTCTCATTTTGGAAAGGGGGGGAGGGGTATTCAAATGAAATAACTTAGAAAATGTTCAAAATAGTTGGTATTCCAGGAAAACAAAACAAAAAAACACAAGTAAGTACCTCTTAAAACCATTAAAAAAATAAAGATGTGATTTCCATATGACATTTCTAAGGCAGTTGTCTTCCTGTAAGAGTTCTCTTGCCAAGAAATCTCTCTCTTGTCTTTCACTCATTCTGTCCTGGAGGAGGGAATTGGGCTTAGAAAGATTCTTAAATGTTTCACTGTTCAGCAGAAAATAATCATTTTTACCTTTTGTGCAAGACATTTTACGTTTTAATGATAATTTTAAAATGAGCACTACATAATGTCAATGTGAATGTAGGCCTTGAAAGCATCTTGCTCAGTGTTGAGCCTGGTTCTAAAAGCAATCTCCTGTGTAAAATGTGTGAATAGTTTGATAATTTGTATACATAATCAAGAGCATCTGATCAGCTGAACTCTGTGTTGGCTGCTGTATAGTACATGAACAAATGTCATGGGATAGAAAAATTACTTTGGATATTTAAAAGAAAAATAAATATATAGTCCATTTGTTTTGTAACAAGTTTCTGTAAATAAAATAATTTATACTATTTATAAGAAAAAGTTGTGCTTTGCTTCATGAAAAAGATTAGTTTGTTGAACAAACATGTTACTAAACAAGGCAATAAAATTAGGACTTTTCAATAAATGAGGTTGGTTGCATGGAATACATTATATGTTTCTGCTTCATTATAAAATCATTCACCATTAAAGGAAAACATTACCTGTATCGGTGCCTATGTGAACTAATTTCGGAGAATTGGATGTGGTCAAATTCTGCAGCTGTACCTCAGCGTCGCGAGAGCGGCTGCAGAGCCCGCCCGGCAGGACCGCAGCCTCGCGCAGGGCGGGCTTGCGCTGCCTGGCTTGGAGGGGTGCCCGTGTGGACCCCGCAGTGCGTGTCTGGGGCGAGGGGCACTGTGGTACTGAAGGGTCACGCTTTGTGTTGTTTTCTGAACCGAATAAAGAGAAGCAGCTTTTACAGCCCCAGACGCGGTACATTGAATGATCACATTTCCTGTCTTTTGTGGTTTTTTTTCCTTCTGCGCAAGCATCTGCCGTGTTTTCACAGTATAAAGATCCAGTGTGGGAATCCAGCAGGTTCAGTACTCCGCAGGCTTTTCTCCGCGTGTGGTGGATGACTTCTGAGGAGCGGTTTGTAAAACCGGTAAAACGCCTGTTAGTGGGATAGGAATTCATAGTTACATCCATGGCCATGCTTCCTGTATTTTATTTTTTTTTTCCTTTTCGTTTCCTCTTACAACATTAACAACAAAGTTTTCTTTAGTATTTGGAATAAATGCTGCAAGATATAAATGGGGGGTCAGGCAGCAAGCAGTCTGCTTTGCCTTTTTATAATGAGTACTTCTGATATTTCTACAGTTAACTTCTCTGTTGTGTTGACTGAAGATTTTTTGTGTGTCTCACATTCCTGCAAATATCTTTCTTTTCTAGTAGCAATTTCTGCTCCACCCTGCGAGCTGCTGGCACTGAAGTTGGTTGCGCTGGGCTGTACAAGTGACGGCAGCGTGGAGCGTGCAGGAGACACCAGAGCAGAGCTCCCTGCTTGTCATCGCATTCCAGCAAGTTCATGACTGAGCTGTCTGCGTCTGCTTCAGAACCAAAGGATCAATTCAGCATTTAGCTGCATTTAAAATAGGGTTCTGATCGTCTAAAACTGGTGAGGTGAGGGAAGAGGGAAGAGGTGGTGGTTGTCCTGCGTGACCCTGAGCTCTGTGAGGTCTCGGGGCTCTGCAGCTTTGGCACGTCCTCCCTTTTCCCTTGCCCTGCTGCGTGGGCACCGCTGCTGGCACGCGACGGCACGGCGCGGGAGCCCTGGCCTCGGGGCGGGGGGCAGAGCTCCTCGGTGGGCTGCCGATCGCTTTGGTGATGGGATTTGTCGTGAAAAATGGCTGCTGGCCAGCTGGAGTAGAGCGCCATGAACACAGGCTTCCCTGAGGCGGACAGGAAGCGGTTTCTGTCCTGTCACCGGCTGCCTCATGGCAAAATACTCCAGATCCAGGAGCAGATACCTGGTGATGGAGTGCGTGAAATGCAGGATACGCACAGGCGCGTATTGTCGCTACCCTTCGCATTTCAGACGGAAGCTGGTGATGCACGCTTCGAACACAAAGGTGTCCACCCTGCTCCTGGCAGAGACGTGTTGGGCTGGGAGGCTGCAACCCGCCTTGGGCAGGAGAACTCCTCAGCCCGGGTCCTGCACCCGCAGCACGGGCAGCGCTGGAGGCGGGTGCAGCACTGGCCCCGTGCCCTCGCCGTGCACGGTGTGGCCAACGGCGAACGGCCCTGTTGCCTTCGCAGGCTGAAGCCCTCCGTGGCCGCCATTACTTGTGCTGACTACCGAAACAATCAATATGAGGGCCTGCAGTTGGC